GCCACCACCACCTGGCTGGGTCTTTTCCTTTTAAAACTGCAGGGGAGTGAAGAAAGCTGGAAAGAGTGGGAGGAGCAATCAGGGAGCTGAGCAGGTGCTGGGCCTGTTGGGTTCAGGATCCACAATGCAAGGGCCGTCACAACTGCCAGTTCACCCAAGGTCACCTTGCACAGAGGAAATGACCCACTATGTGTTCTCAGAGACTGTCACCGTGGCACACTGCAGAGAAACAGGTTCTTCTCTGGGAGCCTGTGGGCGTGGGCTCACAGTCAGAAGACTTAGAGGAAAATTCTGCCGTGGCTTTGTATGGAAATCTCCTCTGACCTGGGGAGCCAGTGGGAGAGGAACCAAATACACTTGTCCAAGTCTGTGAGATGGAAGACTGCGTGGTGATGCTGCAGATACGGTGGGCTCTTAGCTCTGAAAAAGGAAATCCCTCCCTGGTAGAGACTTTAGACCCGGATACCTGAGCAGATCTGCTGGGGCCTGTCTCCACACCTTGCTGTTCTGTTGTGGGATATTTGTACACTTTGTGAAGGTGTGTTGCTGAGTGGTGTAATGAAAAGCTGAATGGCCAATAGGGAGGCAGGAGAGATAGGGATTTCTGGGGGAAAAAAAGAGAGGAATTCGGGTTGTGTGAGAGATGCCAACGAGATACTGAGGGAGCTGGACAAACAGAATGAAAGGTAAAAAGCCATGAGGCAAAACATAGATTAATGTAAATGGGTTAATTTAAGTTAGAAGAGCTCAGTTAAGGCTGAGTTTTCATAATTACTAAGTCTTTGTGCTGTTATTTGGGAGCTGGCTGGACGGAGAAAGACTCGCTCCAGTATTCTTCTGTTCTTATGGTGAAATCTAGTAGTATGATTGGACACCAGAATCAAACGCCAGCATCCTGTGGTCAACAGTTGTGTGAGGTTGAGCAAGTCAAGTTAAGCTGTCCATGGTGGAAGAGGTGTGCCTTACCTGAAAACACTGTGCTATTAATAAAACAAAACAAAACCGACGCGGTCGTCGGTCGTCGTTGTGGAGGTTCCTCATTCCAGTGCTCCGTCGTCGCCATGGTGAAGCTGAGTAAAGAAGCTCAACAGTGGCTGCAGCATCTCTTCAAGGGCTGCCAGTTAGTCATCCGCTGGGGCTTCATTCCTCTCGTGATTTACCTGGGATTTACGAGGGGTGCAGATCCTGGAATGCCTGAACCACCAGTTTTAAGCCTACTTTGGGGATAAAGGCCTGTTTGGTCATCTGGATTTGGAAGCAATCCAACAAGGAAGGTGTGTACTCTGGCTGGATGAGAAAGACATCGTTTCAGCACATCTGTGGCAGAGTGGAGCCTGTACTGACTCACGATAGACTGTCAAAATAAATATTTTAATGATATTTAAAAAAAAAAAAGCTGGGCGATGGTGGCGCACGCCTTTAATCCCAGCACTTGGGAGGCAGAGGCAGGTGGATCTCTGTGAGTTCCAGACCAGCCTGGTCTACAGAGCTAGTTCCAGGACAGGCTCCAAAGCCACAGAGAAACTCTGTCTCGGAAAAAAAAAAATAACAACAACACCAAAGCCGTTCCAAAGAGTTATTTTAGTTCATTGAGATCATATTAGTAAAATGCCTCAGACAGTGCCCGACGTGAGCTGAGTGAAGGACTATATCAGGTTTTGGAGGAGGAAACTCAGTAAACCCACAGAGGGCAGCTCCAGCTACCCGCTTCCTTCTTCCCAACAATGCTTCTTTTTCCCCACTGTCGACCTGAACTCAGATGTGCCTTCCCCAAACCCAGGAAGATGCACACAACAGGCACATTGCCTAATGTGAGTTAGTCGTGATCTCATAAAACGGGGATTGCACGAATGCAACACATCTTGGCAGCGGTGTATTTATGGTATCGATGCCAGCACAAGACTGGCACCAGGCAAAGTTAAGCAGGCATAAAAAGGCTGTTGCAGTTGGTGAGGGAGGCCAGCACTTGGTCTGAATTCAACTCTGTTGAAACAGGGCAGAGGATTCTTAAACAGTGGGGTGCGAGGGAGACGGAGCCATCTGTTTGAAGTGACTTCCGCCACCTTCTCGTGTCGTCTCAACAGATGGTAGTTTTACAGTTTGGATGCCAGTGGAGTCGGGCTCCCGTCATCCCACAGGACAGGGTACACGGCTCGCACGTGAGAGGGATGGCTTCTTCTTTGAAGATTGTGTTCCAAGCCATGGCCCCTATGTCCTTGGGAAGACATTTTTGGGTTATAAAACAGACAAGAGACTTTATAATTGATTCACATATTGTTTTGGGTGTGTCCTGTATCTCCTCCAGGTGAGTGCAGACACGATACACCTTCCCTTCTTGGGCTGTGCCGGCCTTCCCGTCCAATGACCACAGTGATTGTCAGCAATGATGAAGTGTATGGGTTGCTCTTGGGAAGTCTTTCCCCAGTTCACAAGGAACCTTTCCCTTTCCCCCCTTTTTTCTTCTGTCCCTCCTCCTCTCCTCCTTGAAGCCATCAGTCCTGACTTCGTGTAGGGACCATGTTTGGTTCTTGTCTGCTCTGTCTTAGGAGATAACTTTGGGAGAGGCAGGTTGCCGGACTGCTAAGGACTACTGCTTATCCTTTAAGGGTCATTCTGCCCTGGCTCGTGTGTGAGGGCATGTGTTGGCAAGGTTGCCCACTCTTGCTGTGGTCCATGGGCTTGGGGCTGTAGAAATGACTCATTACGTAGTTAAATTGTATTTTATCCTTTCAAAGCGACCCCTTTCAGGACCTGGGTAGATGACAGCTCAGTGGGCGCTAAAGCATTTGCTGTGCAAACCTGAAGACCTGAGTTTGTACCTCAGGACCTGCATAAAGCTGGGTGCCATAGTACACATGTGTGTCAAGTCAGCACCTCTGTGGGGAGACGGGAGACGGGCAGGAGCGTGTCCGGCCAGCTAGCCTGGCATATGCATGCATGAACAACAAGAGACACTCTGTCTCAGAACAGGAAGGAGGCAAGACCGATACCCGAGGTTGTCCTCTCACCTCAACGTAAGTAGTGTGGCACACATTCTCACTCGCTCTCTCTTTCTCTCTCTCCCTCAACGTTAGTGTGGCACACATACTCTCTCTCTCTCTCTCTCTCTCTCTCTCTCTCTCTCTCTTCTCCCACCTTCCATCCTCTGCCCCCCTCTCTCACACAGTGGCCTTTGGCGTCTACAGCAGATCCTGATTCATGAAATATCAAGTATGAAGGGTCCAGAGAAATTTGTACAAAATGAAGTAAAAAACACTTTGGCCACCCACGTAAGGCTTACGAGGCACACGTGTACTCAAGAGCATAAGATTAAGCTAATCTTTGTTTAACGCAATCTTTTCATGTTAATCCTAAAATTATTAATTCTTAGAATGCCCGTAGTAGAAAGCACCTAAAACTCTAGATTTTAGGGAAAAGACAAAAGACATGCTGGTGTGTGTGTGTGTTGTGTGTGTGTGTGTGTGTGTGTGTGTAAGGCACAGACACCAACCTGCATTTTAAAAGAGGCCCAACCTGCAAGAAAGACATACAGTCTTCAGTATGGGCCACAGGGGAAGACCCTCAGCTCAGTCAGCCATAGCCAGGCATGCTAAAAGGACTAACCATGGGCCACCAGGCTCCGCAGAAAGGCACACAGACTTACAGAAATGGCTAGTTGCATAATGGTTGGAACCCCACACAGTTTGTTTATATAGGGTATAAAGGCGTGGTCGCTTGTTCCTAGTTATTAGGGATTTAACAACAGTGCTAGGAGTGGATTAAACCAAACACGCACAACCGTGTGTTACTTTACTAGCCCCACAGCCACAAGGTTCCCAGAACCTCCTAATAGAGCTCACTCAATAGTGCAGGTGCGTCTGTGTTAATTCCACGTAGCAGTGAAGGAAAGTCCATTGGCCCCATCACAGAGCAAGCGTGTGGACAGAAGATTTGGGCAGGTGGTCCTTGCTAGAACAGTCTGAGCGAGGGTCTCTCTCCAGACGCTCTTATTTTCCTTCCCTCGAGACGGGTCATTTCCTTGGAGGACAGCCCTGCCCTTGTCTGCGCCTGCCCTGGAGACACGTGACCTGGTGCAGAGGTTTCTCCCACGTTCGTTTCTTTCCCATCCTACCTTCTTCCAAACAGAGCTTTGTAATTGATTTAAAAAAAAAAATTGGCAAGTTCGTGGGCTTTTATTAGACCCTGTAATTCCAAACCGTGATTACATGATGTCTGGCTTTCCCTGAGCCCAAATTCAATATCCTGGAACGTGGGGGAGCTTTGTTCCTGACTGCGGTGTGCACCTGGGGTGGGGCCCGCGCAGGGATGGTGCCCCAGCAACCTCTGAAAATCTCTGGCTGTGGATGCAAGTTTAACTCTGCTTCCTCCTTTTTATCCTCTTGCATTATGTTTATCAGCACTGTTACAGAACCTTTACGTACTCTGGTTTTGTTCATCCGTTTGATCCGAAACAGGGACGCACACCCTGTCCACTTTGTAGCGCAGCCTGGTTCAAGTTCTCGGTGATTGTCCCGTCACAGCGTCTGGAGTGCTGGGATTACTGGCACGAACTACGCTGCCTGATTACAAGTTTATTTTATGTTTACTTTTTTACACCATTTGTTATTTTTACTTTGGACAGAGAGAGAGAGAGAGTAAAAGCACAAGGTGAGTGGGAATATGAAGGACAACTTTTGGAAGTCAGTTCTCCCCTTCTCCCTTGGCTTTTAGGTGTTGCATTTGGTCTTTAGGTATGCACGGGAAGCCCTTCACTTGCTGCGCCATCTTGCCAGCTGTCCAAGGTGCATGGTGTAATCAGCTCCCTCAAGCTCCTGCTGCGAGGGGGGTGGGTCTCAGCTGTGATAAACTGTGTGTAGCCTCCAACTGAGCCAAAACAAACAAACAAACAAACAAAGCTCTTAAAGAAATAAAGGAAGGAAGAGAAAGAAAAGGCAAATCCCTCGTGTTCCCACTTTCACGCAGGCTCTTGCTCCCCTGGACTGTATTTCTGCTGGCTGTGTTCATGACGGACACATGGTGATGATGGATGTACGTCTTCGTTCTGGTGCGGCTGAATCGTGATCCGTGCTGCACTCATAAATGCGAACCACACTTCTCCAGGTAAAGAGGATGAAGGAACTAAAGCAACAGGCCTGAGAACTGACTGCAAGGAGAGGGCAAGATCGCCCTTGTCCACTTGTGACAAGGTCACCCTTGTGCACTTGTGACAAGGTCGCCCTTGTGCACTTGTGACAAGGTCGCCCTTGTGCACTTGTGACAAGCTCCACAAGCCAGGCAGCACTAGGTTACCTTTTGCTGGGCCTATGTTCATGGGAAAAGGACGCTGGAAGATGAGATGATGTACCCGATGTCATCCAGCTCCCAGGGCACATTAACTAGGCTGTCAATGGCATTCCCACACAGACCGCACAGCCTTGTCCCCACATCAGTAACCTTATGTGGGGCAGATTTTTTTTAAGAGTTTACTGCTTCTTTGTGGGAAGTGAGAGCTGGGACCCACGCTCTCTAAGGCCAAGCTTCCCAACCCTAAACATACAGGGTGCACACAGTGGGTGCCGACCCCGTCAGCCTATAGCTGCCGCAGAGGTTTAAAAAAGTGTCACCATCATTGGGCATTCCCTGTTTTCTCGAGATGTGTACTGTGGTCAGCCAGATCCTCCTGGAAACTGAGCCCTGAGCTGTGACTACCACGCCCTTGCCAGACTGATGCCAAAGCTTGCAGGTTCATTTTAAAGTCACTCCGAGAGAGAAGGATGGGGTGTCAAGTCTGTTCCCTGGAGCGGCTCTTCAGCCCTTTCTTGTGAGTTTTGAAGCATTGAGGCCCCCTCTACTGGTGGAATTTGTAATCCACCAGATAGTCCAATTTGGTGTGTTTGATGAATCGGGGATTGACACCCCAAACTCAAACCGAACAATAACAACAACAACAACAAACCGCCCCCACTGGATCATCAAGGACCAGAATTATAAGAAAATGTGAACGGCTCTCTATCTCTCAACTTTGCAGTTCAGGATAGAAGTTTGGAGGTTTCAACCGTTCTCCCATAAATCTAGCAGGGAACACTCAAGCACATTTGGCCATCGATGGCAAAGTGTGGGCTTTTTTTTTTTCCGCAAAGAGAAGGCCTTGACAAATACCCACTAACAGATAAAAATCATGTCTTCATTCAGCAAAGACTGCGGCATCCCACAGATGTTCCCTGGAAATTCTGTGTTCTGGTCACCTAAGCTGAGGTCTTGGCAACCACAGTCACTCAGGAATCTCCGAGGTGCTGTCAAAACCAAGAACACTCTGTTACTATTTATAGATTTTCTCCAATAAAGCCCCATCCTAAGCAATAGAACCACAAAGCTTGACGTAGCATATGTCACATTAAACATGGCACGTTGTATGTTTCTGTATGTGTACATCTACACAGCTCACGCATCATATTATAAAGTTCGTCCATGTGCCAATGAGATCCCTCTTTGCTCTTGTGTGTGGCACACTTCAGATAGAACTGAGGTAACGGAATTCATGTTTGTGCTTAATGACTAGAGAGGTCAGAAAACCTTTTCATTGTTTTTAGTATTTGTTATTTTTGTGTGCATGCGTGTGTGTGCCCGTGTGTGCACGTGTGAACTTAGGAAGTCTTCTCTCTTGTTAAACGTTCCTGGGAGACTAGTCCAGGCTTCGTTTCTGCTGTCATAAAGATGGCCATCGTCCATTTCTGCTGGATTCATACACTCAGTTTTCAGTTTGTCACTATCGCCAGCCTTCACCACCATGAAACTCCAGTTATTCACAGCCAAGGGTGTGTTCAAAACTGCCCCACAGGAGGTCAGTGAAACCTCTCCTTGTGTTGTGGGCTCTCTGCTTAACGATTGGACCATGTCTGTGGACCCTCAATGAGCAGGCAATAAATAACCTTTGGGCACAATTGTAAAAATTAAAAGCAAAAACAAAAAACAGATTAATATAAAAAAAAACCCTTTGGATCACAAGAGCTCAGAAATATTTGCTTTAGAATGCAACTTTTATAGTCATGAACCTCCTGCGTGAATTACAAGCTCTTCTCACCAAGGGAGGAATTCCACTAACTGAATTTTCATTTGGGAAAGTTTGCATAGTACTTAGGATACAGTGGCTTTGTGTGTTTATTCTGAGTTTGCTTTTTCCTAAAATAATATGATGATCCATCCAGACACGACGAAAACCAAACTGCAGCGTTGTAATCCTCCAAACCTCCTTTCTCGGGAGAGAATTAAGCAAGCTCCAGCTTAACAGCCGCTAATCCTAAAAAAGATTATTATAAAAGACTCTAGACCCCATGGGGGAGCAGTGGGTGCTCCACATTTACTGTGGTTCCCCAAGGAGGCTCTCTCTGACAGGAAGCAGATGGAGACCCCACAGAGAGGCGGGTTCCCACTGTGACTATCACAGGCTGCACGGTGCTTTGGAAACGACACCAGCTAGGAGATCCGCAACCAGAATTTTAGATTTTATACAAGGATGGCTTTGATGTGTGCGTGCCTGCGCGCACGTGTGTGTGTGTGTGTGTGTGTGTGTGTGTGTGTGGCAAGACAGCAGTAGCAGTTGATGAAGTCTGTCTCAAAACAGCCATTCTTTCCTGTAGAGTAACTCAAACGATCCGACAAGGACCACCTGTTTCGAATTTCTTGTGTCCTTCTTTTAGAGAAAGGATTAAGTCAACAGTTCAGGATAAGTTTGGCCCTGTGAGTGGGATGTGGGGCTGGGTGAGGTGAGGAGGATGGGGGCCTGGTGGGGGTGAGTGGGATGCAGCGCTTGGCAGGGTAGGTGGGATGTGGGCCTGAACCAGGTGAGGAGGATGAGGGGCTGGGCCAGGTGAGGAGGATGCGGGGCTGGGCCAGGTGAGGGGGATGCAGCGCTGAGGGGAACTGTCAGGAAGAACTGAAGGCTTTATTCTTTGAGAAGCTTGAAAGAGCAAGAGACAAAACTGAAATAATGCCTTCTGCAGATTAGTTTTTCTTGTGGAGAAGATTAGGTTGCTTCATCTCAACCTGGAGGTTTACTGCACATGAATTAATGCTGCTGCTGTTTGCATTTTCATTCTGTTTATTTCTGAGATTTGCCTGTAAAAACCTTACACGGGTGCGGAGGAAATGCAGAATCTGTACCGATGTTTTTGCATACAAACCACGGGTAGTATAGGTGTTACTATTTATCTTGTGTTTTTCCCAAAATAAAGTGAGCAAACTTTAGATTCATTTGAGTCGTTCATTTGAGTAAGTCAGTCGTTTTCTTTCTTTCTTAAAAATGGAATTTTTTTATTAATTCTCTGAGAATGTCATACATGTTTTGATCACATTTGTCCTCACTCTTTCCCCTAATGCTTCCCAGATCCATCCCTTACCTTTGCGTCCCTCTTAACTTCCTGTTCTCTCTTGTTTTCAAAAACAGCCAAACAACTGGCCAACTCTTATTTGTAATGCTTATATACAGGTGTGTGTGAAACCATCTTGTTGAGACCACGCCCTGGGTTTAATTTCCCGTTGATGTCTATGTAAGTGTTTCCCAAGAAAACGGGGCTGGAGAGACAGCTCAGCAAAGCGTGTGATGTGCAGGCGTGAGAGCCTGGGCTTCATCCAGGTCACACTGTAAAGACCTGGTACGATGGCACTGCCTGTAATCCCAGTGCTGGGGAGCTGGAGACACACAAGTCACTGCACAGTCAGCCTAATTTGTGAACCCCAAGCCAGTGAGAGACCCTGTCTCAAAAATCCAAGGTGACTGACCTCTGAGGAGGAATGACACCCAAGGTCGTCCTCTGTCCTTAACACATGCGTGACCCGCGCTTACCCTGGCATGTGCATCTTTCCAGCTCTAGAAAAACAAGTTCTCTCTCTGTATCTGTCCCTCTGTGTCTTGGTTTGTGTTTAACCCCCACCCCAAACTCAAATAACTCCAGCAACCATCACCCTGAGCAGTGGGGAACATTGAAGAGCTTGGCTCAAATGGCTTTTGCAGGTTGAAGTGAAGTTTTCCAGAGCCCCAGACTTACGGGAAACATTGTGGGATCAGCTGACTTTCCGCAGGGCATTGCATTCCATTCTCCCTTCTTTTTTTACTCTCTCGCCCCCACCCTTCTTAGAAGCTAATGGGTTTATTGTGTACACTGCAAAGGGCAGTGGTTGGACAAGCACTCAAAGGAGTTCAAGGTCTCCCTGAGTGCCTCCCAGTCTCCCCTTGAGGGGCAGGGGGTTCCTGACAGCTGTTTGTACATATTTGGTGGCTGAAGACTGTGATGAAAATCCATGACAGAAGGATCATGAAAAAAAAAGTGGTTTCTAAGAAAAGAGGTAAGGTTTGGAATTTAGCTCAGTGGAAGAATGCTGAAGTCGCTGGGTTTGGTCCCCAGTACTAGGTGGAATAAAAGAGAAAGAAAGAATCATAAAAGGAGGTGATAAGTGAATTGTTAATCTAATTAGTCTTATCAATAAAAGATTGGGAGTAAGGTATCAGGGTAAAAACCTGAAAGATTAGAGAAGCTGGGGAGCAGCCACAGTAGCTTTCTACTTCTCTGGTTCCTCCAACCAAAAGGGCCAAGATCTTCACTGCACCCTTCTCTCTGTGCCTCCCCACCCCACATCCCACTTCCTGTCTCATTCTCTACAGTCCTCCAAACCTCTATGGTCAGCTAGTGGCTAGCTCCACCCTCTGACTCCAAGCAAGCTTTATTTGTCAGAACACAATCAAAATATCACACAACATTTTCCCCTTTTTGTCTAAATAAAAACAAAGGTTTTAACTATCATAGTAAAACCATATATATGTGCAGTAACTATATATAGGCAAGAATTACATTAATAATGTCTAGTCTGTTTACATTATATGTCTGTAGAGAAAAGCAGAAACAAACATTTGAGATAATGTCCAAGAAAAAGAGTAAATTGGCCTACTGGTATTTCACAATTTCAACCGGAGCATAGGACCAGACATGGGCACTTTTTAAAAAAATATCAGTTGTCATGATTGCTGGTGAAACCTTTAGCCCCATGTCTGCTCAGAGAAGACCAGTGGAGCTGTCTGGTGTGTCTTGCAAGTGTCCTGTGTGCATGGCACACATTAGCCATTCATTCCTTTGAGCTAATTTATCTAGTCACTGTGGCGCATTTAATTTTGGAGCATGCAAATTTCACTCTGGGGTGAGAACATGGGCTCTTTTTACTTGTTCACCCAATCGTAGTGATAGCCTGGCTACTGGCAAGGTCTTCTTATTCACGCTGCAAATGCACATCTGTTTTCCCAGTAATTTTGTTATGAAGCTTATTCCTCTAAATTCTGGTAATTTTTCAAACACATTGGGATGCTGCAACAAGGATTTCAGTCTGTGGTGGATCAATCTAGGACCCAAGTGCAAGGGAGCTGATTTACGTAAATAACCAAAATCACCTCAACTAATGGCAGGTTCAAGTCTAACCATCCTGCAGAGACTTGATTCCAAAGACAATATTAACTATCCTTTCGATAAGAAGTCAATCACATTCTGGCCGATGTCTGGTCCCATGCTCCATTGTCTGATTTTTATGGCTACGGAAAGCAAGCGTCTTCTTGATTTTATTATGTGATCCGTGATGGCACAGAGCATCTCCGGTCTCAAAAGTCTGCACATTTAAAGCTGCCGCTGTTTTCCTACTGGCATGAAAATGTTTGAAAGGAGAAGATGCAGATCACGGCAAGTATGAAGCTCCATGTATCCTGCCAATCAAGTGGGTTTGCAGTAACTTTCTCTAAAAATGTCGCCTCAACTGAGAGATGCATGGTGAAACGGCTTCTAGAGTCACCTCGAGATCACAGAGCTCACCCGCCCAGCACCTACTGCTACAGGTTGGTGTGCAGTCCTTTCATCTGGCTGTGCTTTGAGCAGCTAGCGGGGCTGTCCTGATGTCTGACAAACAGAAGATAAACTAAGAAAGGGAGGCAGGCAAGGAAGACAGATTTTTTTTCAGTTATCATGTGATACATTCTACAGCAGTAAACACCACTATCTCCCAAATAAACCCTAGAAGGCAGGAAAAGAAAGCACTGCTTGAGAAAGCTTCACGGACAGAGACTGTCCTCCTGCTGTCGGTGACCTTGTCCTTTTGGAGAGCCTGCATGCCCTTTTTTTGTATTAAATAAAATGGGAGTGTAAGGACTGACGATCTGAGTTGGTGAGCGGGTCACAGAAACAGCGCTGGCATCTGTTACTTCCACTCTGCGATCCATTACTTCTGGTCTGTTAATGGCTGGAGACATTTGATTAACGGCTGAGATGTGGACGTGAAGGGGACCCAAGGTGGGCTGTGAAGTATACCACGTGGCTAAATCTCTATTCCCATCGCCTCACCTGCTTCTCTAGCTCCAGATACCGGGCCGACCGGCAGCTGGGGGCCTCAGAGGCGGGAAAGGCTCCATTTACTCCAAGAATAATTGTGTGTTTGTGCATGTGTGGATATGCACACTATAATATTCTGTCAATAAAAATGCTGGACCAGAAGGTAGTTTATCATTTTGGGGACTAATTAAGAATAAATCTCTCCTCCAATTGAAAAAAAAAAAACCATGCATTCATTAGAGCAACTGAAAAAGGAAATTAAGAGAATTTTATTATTTCTTAAATATTAACTAACACAATACATAGTTTTTGCACAATGGTAGCAGAAAAGAGGGTCTGTCTTGTATAGCTAGAGTTGTAACAAAAACACCAGGTAAAAAGAAAAACTTTTTTTTAGTAATCGGTACGTTACAACATTCCCCTTAATGGTAAACATGTTCTGTAAGCCAATGTACTAGAATATATTAATTTGAGATGCAGTTATGTATTTCATTTTGACCAGGCTTATCATTCCAGGTTATAAAAGAAGGCAAGCTTCCTTTGTATGGATTTTACTGAAGTAGATGCTATTGCCAAAAGCAACTATAGAAAGGACCCAGTAGCTGAAAGGATTGTAAGACCCCAGTGGCAAGAGAATTAAGACCGACAGGCTGTAGGAAGTCTGCAACTTATCCCT